AGGCTTCCACTGCATCCTTCCCGGCTTCACTGAGGTATACAGTACTCTACAAAAGTTTTAGGCAGGTGTGAGAAAATGTTGTAAAGTAAGAATTCTTTCAGAAATAAAAGTGTTAATAGTTAATTTTTTTAGCAGTTAGCAAAATGGAAAGTAAATGAACAGAAGAGAAATCCAAATTAAATGAATATTTGGTGTGACCACCCTTTGCCTTCAAAACAGCATCAGTTCCTCTAGGTACACTTGCACACAGTTTTTGGAGGAACGCGGCAGGTAGATTGTTCCAAACATCTTGGAGAACTTCTGTGGATGTAGGCTGCCTCAAATCCTTCTGTATCTTCATGTAATCCCAGACAGACTCGATGATGTTGAGATCAGGGCTCTGTGGGGGCCAAACCATCACTTTCAGGACTCCTTGTTCTTCTTTATGCTGAAGATAGTTCATAATGACATTGGCTGTAAGGTTTGGGGTCGTTGTCCTTGTGCACAATAAATTTGGGGCCAATCACACGCCTCCCTGATGGTATGGATGGATAAGTATCTGCTTGTATTTCTCAACATTGAGGACACCATTGATTCTGACCAAATCTCCAACTCCATTGGCAGAAATGCAGCCCCCAACTTGCAAGGAATCTCCACCACTATTGCCTGCAGATACTCATTATTGTACCGCTCTATAGCCCTTTGGCAAACAAACTGCATATATTATACTCCTATTATGACCTACCAGTCCAGAACACCTGCTGACATTTTTCTGCACCCCGGTTCCTATGTTTTCGTGCATAGTTGAGTCGCTTAGCCTTGTTTCCACATCGGATGTATGGCTTTTTGGCCGCAAGGCCGCAGAAAAATAGCAGCGGTACTCTGTATTTAGAGTATATTAATAATTTTATATATGTATAGGGGGTATGATGGTATAAGTGCTGCAGATTGTGTTATATGATTTGTTGCTGCTTTATGCACTTTGTGAACTGTGACTGCTGGATTGATTTGTAAGAGTGGA